TTTTATTTATTCACTTGACCTTCAGAGGAGTTGGATGCTTTTTGTTCTCTCTCCCGAACCTTCCCTGCTTTGCAGCTTTTTTCAAGCCTTTCTTCTACCTATCATCTGAAAACAAAAGGAATTATGGATTTGGTCAACTGGTCTCTGAACGTAATCAACACTATTTTTTTCCACACTGAGACTGAAGCGAGGGGAGCGCAGCACTCCCAGTATAATGGTGGCGGCCGGGCGAGTGTCTGGTTCTTGGGGTTGGAACCTGATCTGTTTGGCGCCGCTTTCCACTGAAGACGTGGCAGATCTGTACATATTTAGACTTAGGATAACTGGATTACTGCTGATCGGCTGTGGAGGAGTCCTGGCTTATCAGAAAATGAAAGGGATCCTGACAGCAGATCGGGCCTGTGAAAAGCTGTCAGGGACCTTGGATGGAGTCTCCCGTACTGGGAACGCACAGACTGTGATGTTGGGGGATATAAGTCGCAAACTGGACGTGATTCTGACGAGAATCACAGTTCAGCAGCATGCCCATGAGATGTAGGATTACACCTGTGTGAAGTTTCAGACGGAAAGAGAGGCGAGGAGGTAATTGAAATTCGGAACATTGGCATATTTTTCGCCATCACAGAGATGCAGTTAAAGACTTAAAGCAGTGAGAAAATGAAGGCTGCTTGTCTCAAACAATTATGTTTATCTTTTGGATCCCTGCAGCTGCTGCTGGTTGGTTCGGCAGTTATCAAACTCCCTGGATGACACGTGAAACAAAGGCTTGACTCCCCATCCCCTACCCATTTCATCCGTGGGTGGATCAGTCTGAAGGCCACGATGGGTGGAGACAGAGAACTGAACTCTGGTGATTTGTGCTTTGGTTGATAACAACTTGTTTTTGGACTCTGGAGGTCTTTGATTGGTTCCAGTAAGGACTATTATCCTTAAACATCACTGGCTCTGCTGCATCCTACCCCGTACCATGTGTTTGAGCCCCAGCCCTCTCCCTTCCTTTGCTGCCTTGCACTGTGCGAGTGTTTTTTTTTTTTTTTTGAGTGTATGATTCAGTGTTTCTGTGTAAACTTAGGATCAGAGCATACATTTTTTAAACTCATCTTTCCTATTGTGTGTATTCCAAGCTTTTTAAAGGTAGTGCGACCCTTACTGGTTGCCGCATGACCTGATCACCTGTTCCCCCATGTTTTTGTCATGTGTGTGTCTTCTTGAATGGGTGTTCTTGAATGTAATTTCATTGAGCAAACGATGACAATAAAGGCTTTCATCATCATCATCAAGCATTGTTACAACAAGTAAATAATCTACCAAAAATAGATGTTCTACTTACTTAGTTCCAAAGTAATTAAAACTAACACGCAGAGGAAATCTGACAATTAACTGATTGTCAAAATAAGAAGAATGCTTATTGCTAACAAACCCATTTTCAATACTAACATTTTTAGACAACACTAAACATTAACAAGTTTTGATCTGTCATCAATAGAGGTAAAACAGAGTGACCTGCAGATCCATTTCATTTCTCTACATCAAAGTGTTGGAACCAAAAACCAAACAGACGACTTCAGACCCGTCTATCCAAAGCCATTTCCTCTGTCTAATTAAAAACAATCATCCTCTGCCTTCGCCTTCCAAGGTCAATAGTCTGGACCTCTGAACCGGGCCCCTGCTGTAGTGCAGGGCCTTTCATTAGATTAAACACAATAATGAGAAAATCTTTTATCTTTGCATATAATTAAAGCTGGGTTAAAGGACAACTCAATCAATGATGTGGAACGACAAGTTCGTAAATGAATTAGATCTGCCGATGGGGGCTTGGCTGCGATCAATGACAAACGTTAAGCAGAGAGTATGTACTGCAGAAATAACAAGAAATAATAAATCTATCCGTCCACACAAACTAAAAACAAACAGATTTCTGTGTATGATTTTAAATAAGCAAATAATTTTATAAAAGTAGCTGTAAAACATTTATTTTAATGTTTCTTTTAGATGAAATCTATGCAATATGAAGCAGATAAACTTTAGATTGTCTTTTTTAAAGGACATAAAGTCAGTCTTAGTTTAATAGCATCACATAGACATGAGAGGGCAGTGTTGAGCTTTGAAAAACCTCCAGGGTTCCCTCAGTCTGGCAGTCTGGAGAGCCATAAGAAAGAAAACTGGAAAACAATAAACTTTTAAAATACAATTGTTTATGATTAAAATCACCCTTGGATTTCAGATTTGGATATTGTTATGCACTCAGCTCATCAAAAGTCAAACCCAGTGCTTAAATTTAAACATCAGCTATTTTGGTTTTTGTCTGTGAGAATATTTGTCACAAGTCTAAAGATCCCATCTGATCACACGAGTCTTAAATTTACTGAAGGAACAGATAAAAGAAGGAACGTTCACCAGCAGACGTGTGCTTTTGTTTTTTGGAGGGGACGGGAAAAGATGTGAGAACTAGCCAGTATTGACAAAAGCTCAGTTGCTTTCTGACATACAGACAGGAAGTCAGTGTCACATGACTTAAATATTGGCATCTTGTCCGATTGCACAGAGGGCCTCGTATGTTTGCTGCCAGCACAAATACGGCCCGAATCATTCAAACACACACAGGTAAAAAGACAAAGCACACTGTTGGGTATTAGAACAAAACTAAAATAAAAAAGAAATAATCATAGTTTCCATGACTTTATAGAAATGATGCCCTTATTGGTGAATCCCAAACCATTATTCTTGCATTTGGACTGAACAGAGTTGAACACTGCAGCTGGATGTCTGCCTAACTAAATCGTCTGCTGAACAATTATCAGTTCCTCTATCAGTTCTGCTCCTATCTGTCCCATCACACTCACAGCCAATTTCCCCAAACTGTCAAAGCTAATAATTGGGCCTCTCTGTCAGGAAGGAAATCAAGCCCGCTGTTTTAACTAAAACACACATCCTTCACCCCCTTAATCC